ATAGTTACTAGGGGAAAAAAAAAAGGCTCAGAGGGAATATGTTCAGCATAAAACCTGGGCAGATACCTTATTAATCTTTGGTTTTAAACAAACATAGTTTGTCCAGCACAAATATTTGTGGGAATTAATATTAGGCTGGAGGAAATTAGTCTCCATTTACACTTGCAGCTCCTTGCACAGAAAGCAAGTGCAGCTCAGATGTAGAAAGGAATCAAATGCAGTGTCCAGAGCCACTAGTCATCTACAGTTTAAAGCGAGGATGAAGCTACATTAGCCAGTTACTAGCATTATAGAGCTTAAAATGATTAAACCAGCTCAGTTCACCCAGATACTTACAAATTTAGTCTTACCGCAACAAAGATCTAAGATATGGAATCTAACAGAAAGTTTAACACTGAAAAAGCTTACAGAAAAATTACATGTATGTCAACTGAGGAAATGGTATTGGTGTGCTTTTGTCTAATAGAACGTGAAATACGATACTCAAAAAAGTCAAGTATTGTTGTGATGCTTGTGTTTTGTCAACAGATCCACAAGTAAACGTCTACGAGGTTTTAATGCAACAGTGATCGAGCGCACTGTGCAATCATAACTACATGTAAAAAAAAAAAAAAAAGGGTAAGTTACAATCAAATTTGAGAAAGGAATCCTGCAATTCTTCACCATCCAAGGATGAACTTGCCATCTGATGTATGAAACGGCCAATTCATAGAGTAATTGCTGGGTGATAATGGTGTTGGGTTTCCAGATCTCATATGTGTTCTACCAAATGTAGAACTCCACACATAAATCTCTGCTTAATCTGGTCTCTCTTCAAACTAAAAAGGTCATAACTAAATTCCTAATTGATAGATCTCAATCCATGTTAAATAAAGGTGAACGGCATTAAACAATAGGAAACACTTTAAATCTCTTGTGCCAGAATAAGATGAGCTTTCAAAATTTCTCAGATTTTCTGCTTTGGTTTCTATGTGGCACTCTTTTGTGCCTGACAGAAGGAGAAGAACGAAGTTTTGCTCTCCTACTGATGGTTATGGTAAATTGCCAGCAATATAATACTGATAAACATGGCAGTACCCGTGCATAGCAAAAAAGCAGTACAATTTTTAGCTGCTCAACATATAGAGGATGATTATAATTTCTTAACATTTTTCATGAGTCATAAAATGACTATGACTTACTGAAAGGCAGCTCCTTTGGAACAATACATTTGTAAACAAAATTGTCCTTCAGCTTGGCCCTAAAGGCTCTTCTTTAGCTATTTACAGAAAAAATAAGAACAGCAGCAATAGAACATCAAAATGATGTATTGGAACACAATAAGGAGAATAATTTGGAAGGTACACAGTAAAATACAGTAAGAAATGCTTTCTTACCTGCTTTATACCACAATAATTCGCTATGCTGTCTACCAGCTCTGACATCACCTGCACTTCATGTGATTTCTTATTATTCATAAACTCATCAGTTTTGATACCTGTATCAGATTAAGAAAATAAATACACATTAACACAACCAATAATGATAAAGATTTGTGATCAATCAGAAAAAATACCAGCCTAAAAATATGCTATAATATTTTTATATTTTAAGGATCATAATTCTTAATTAAAAACTCACTATATTATTACAAGACTAAACTTCGGAATTACAGATGAATTAGTAAAATTCAACACACTGTAAAACTTAGTACTGTTAGTGTAGTTTTTTAAGATGTAGCATATCTAATACCTGACCAGATAGCAGACAATAATTACTACTATAAAACTGTACTATTTCTTCCTGTTCATCAAAAAATACTTATTTTTGTGTTGTTTACCATGTTTACCTTTACATATATGAAATATAAGGGCAGGGACAATTAATAATCACACAGTACGGCTTGTTAATTCTGCAGATTTGCTCACAATATGAAGTGGGAGATATCCAAATAAAAGTTATGAGCAACGCTGGGGAAATTCAAAGGAAAATGCACTTTTATTTTCTTTATTTACCCTATGGATGGGTTATGGAACTGTTACATGTTTACGGCAGAAAATCACTCATTTTAGTGTTGCTGGAGAATGTGTTAATGAGATGGAGACAATCTCTACCACAGGTTTACTGCTTGTGGAGAATACCAAGCACCCACTTGCTAATCTCTACATCCCCCAACCAAAGGAGGAGCTCAGAAGTCGCTCCCTTGGGAAAAACCCAAACATTTCTCTTAGGCGACCAACACTACAGTACACTTGGCTCTAGTTAAATTGATGGAAATTTTTGCAAGTCTGAGCGATGGTAGAAGAAATTGGACCGTTACTGATGAGCACGCTCCTAGAAAACAAGACTTTTCTACATGACTAGGCAGATTAACTTTCCCATTCTCTGCTTTTTGCACAGTATGCGTTCATCTGTCCAGAAACTGATCATTAGGCAAAAAACTATGTTCATTCCTTGATCAGATCATGCTGGGAACAGAGCCAAGAGTGTTACTCCTTTAAAAGAGAGTGGGGAATTGAACTGAGCTCATGAGAAACCTAGTGTTTTTTCTATTTTTCCCAAAACCCACAGGATCTCTCTATTTCTTAAACATCTGTTTTTTTATAATAAACTGTTATGACAATACTTAAAATCTAATATAGACTCTATGAACTGACAAAAGAAAAAAATGGACTGAAATACTTTTAAACAAAACAAATAGCAGAAACAAGTGTTTGTCATTTCACTAAAGATTCTCCTTAACTTTAAAACTGTGAAGATTACACGGTGTCCTAAAAAACTCTTAATTTGTAAGCATTTCAAATGAAAGAAAAAAAGACAGGAAAAAAAAAAACAAAAAAGAATAAAGGTCTCTTTTTTTGTTTATATTTGAACATTTTTGTCTGGATAGGCTCATCAGGTAAAGAAGCAGAACGGGAACAGAAAGAAACAGACATTTAACTTCTTGACAGAAATAAAAGTTGCTTGACTGTTCTCCAAAGCAGCACTGTCACCACATATTGCACCTTTTACTCTTTGCTATAGTAAGAATTCAAGAGACTGTGTGAAGTACCATTTCAGAGAGTACTTAAGCCAAATTAAGTATTTCAAACATGAAAGAAATCCAGAAATCCAGAAACCAGACCCAACTTACAAAAGCTGAGGTTCCAGCTAGAAAAATCATAGTTTGCTTATACCTACATATATAAAGCATTTATCACCTTAGCTACTAACATTTCTTAACCATTTTTAGACTTCTTTTCCTACTTTTTGCAGAATGAACACTCTGCTTATATTTCAGCTCAGGGAAAATTATATTGTTAGCAGAAAATTATGGATTTTTTATAAAGCTGCATTTTCTGCAAAATTCTGATAGATTTTTTTACATCATTTTTAAAAACAAGCAGACATATTACAATGTAATAGAAAAACTGTATTTGGGGACTGTCTTATATTGCCAAGACAACTGCAAATTTGAAAAAAATATGTACACTAGTTTTAAACAAACTGTGTAAATTCATTCTGCTATCACAAAATTACTTTCTTCAGACAAATAATTATACATGTAGATTTCCTTATTATGTGTACAACTGATGCAAACAGAAGAAATACTAATCTAAAAAAAACATAAGAAATTTAGAGATCCATCTTCTTTTGTGATGAAAAAAGAAAGTGGGGTTTGAATACTTCACAGAAGTAGCCTGGATATAATGGAGTAACAGAAAGCTTAATGTTACTAGTTTTAGCTGGTACTAAAATGCTGCTTATTTCCATTGTGAACCCCTAGCACAGGTAGCTGTTGTCCATTTGAAAAACTGCTTCAACTCTGTAATGCCATTTACAGCTACATCTGTAGTTGTGAAGCTGAACAAATTGAGGAGAGACTGTCTTTTCTACAGGGCTAATGCAGATCTTCCTAAGATCTCCTATGGCAGGGTGCAGGGGTTTTATACCCCAGCTGCCTGTGGAAATTCAGATATACCAGATAAAAAAAAGAAATTCACAGTCCACACCAGACAACACCACCTATCCAGAAGCTACACTACTATGATTTAATTCCATAAGCCAGAGTGAGGGACTGGGATAACCGTATACTAAAAAAACATTGAGGCAGAGTGATATTCCAGTACATGGAATTTAAAGACAGATTCGTAAACAGTCACTGCATGACAACAACCTTGGCCATAAACACATTGCAAAGGTAGAGAGTACTCTTAATCCAATACTCTGGCAACCCTCGCTTCTTGTATCAGATATGAACCTTGCAACAAGAGAAATTCTCCCTGCTGGCTTCCTCCCCTTGGCCAGGCTCTTCTGGACCCGTGTGTTCAGTGCAAGCAACCTGATGGTGCAGAAGGGACCACAGTGACCTTCGTTAGGAAGCAATGGAGAAAGCCCTTTAGACTCAGAACTCCACTCTGAGTAGCTGTGTCTACAATACGCCTAAAATGTTTGTGCTTACCAATTGTCCCAAGGAAGGACAGCAGTATGTCTACATTAAGATGGTGAAGAAGTTAAGAGAACTACGCAAGTATGCAAACTGTGGGAATAGGATCATAAGCATGTTTGTCTCAGAACAAGAAAATGTATTAAAAACATCTGAAACATAAATGGAATTATCCTGATGCATACTTTTCAGAATATGAGCAAGGCCATTGTAAGGATGCCAATTTTCTCAGACTTACACTTCTCTTGACTTGCAAGCTTTAGTATGTCAGGAAATTAATATATTTTCTGAAACACAGAATTAAGTCCAAAATATCTAAAATAGCTTAAAGTAAAAAGATCACAACTTTCATTTGCCAACTTGCATGTTATGAATCCATAATTTGGTATTTTGCTTCTGCCAAATGATTACCAGGAACTTCAATTAAGTTAATTTAACTGATACTTACTGCCAATTCAACACAAAGGTTTTGAATTATAATACCATTGTATACATTTGGAACACATTTTATTTTTTCTATGAAGTACAATTTAGAATTACTGCATCACAAACCCAGGCCCCAGTTACCCAATCGAGCAGCACTCCTGCAAGACACAGAATAAAATATTCAGCAATTGTCTTATTCCTGATGTTCCATTCTGCATGACAAAAAGATGAAAGAATCCTTGCATTTTTGTCTAAGAAAGCTAATGCAGGTATGAACTCAAATATGAGTATAACAAGGTAGAACTACAGAATTACAGAAAATTAAGCAGGGAATGAGAGCATAATAAAGATGAAAAGAGCTAAAAAGCAAGTGAAAGAAAAGCAGCATACAGTTGTCAAACAAGAAAAAAGGGCTTCAGATGAACTAACAGCAGAAAGAAAGAAGCCAGAAAGTAAACTTACAGTAAGACCAATGCACAACAAACCATTAAGACTATCTTAGCTATGGCATTTTAGTAATTCTGAAAAAAATGGAAAACTGGGGAGTCAACCATGGAAAATGGCAAAATTGGAAAGAGAAGATAGCTGTAGAAAATGGGAGAGATGCCCAACATATATAATGGTGTTATCACTTAGGATAAGAAATGTCAGTTTTAACATATTACAGAGATAAAACACACTAGAAAGCAAAGGCGGAGAGCTGCTCAGTCTGTTTCTGAAAAACTAATGAGAAATCTGAAAGACAGTGACAAATCTATAATGACTGAGGACTCGATGAAGAGCACATTTTCAGTGAAAATGACAGCAGCCAAAGTAAGTATAAATACCAGTTTATCATCTGATACAAAAAGTATAATCAGGGGCAAGACTTCCAGTGTCCAACTTGATGCCAACTTGAGAGTGATTTAATCCAATTTATTTAACTACAGAAAATGAAATTATTCTAGTTTTATGACATATATTTGGTATTGGTCCAAAACATACAGAATGAATAAAATCTTTTTTTTTTTTTTTTGAGACATCAAACACTTATTGGGCCATATTCAGCTAAACGCCAAAGCACATACTTAATATTAAACAAAAGATGTAACAAAGAAACTCGCTTGCCAGATTTTAGGGTGAGACTTTTAAAAAAAAGCAATAATAGCAAATATGATTCCTGCCACTCAGGGAGAAGAGAAACAAAGAGAATTAACAAGACAACTCAAATAATAATGTGCCTGCTGGCCTATCTCATCCCCTTTAAAACTGAATCTCAGGAAGGGTCTATAGGTACTGAATGCTGTGACCCCTCTGCTCAAATTTTAGCAAGAGAATCCATTTTCTTAACAAAGACAATGGAGAAACTATCTAGGAACAAATGAAAAATGAAGTGAGAAGCATGTAGGGGGAAAAAAAAAACAAGCCACCCTCCAAAACCAAAACTATGCAGGTCCTACAGTGAAAAATAAAAATTTAAATACAAATGTAAATATACCTGTTGTTCCTTGATTGTCTCCTCTCAGTGCTTCAAGTACGTCTTCTAATGGGGTACACACTCCAAGGTCAGACAAAGAATAATACTTAGCAGCCAGGGCAAATAAATGTACATTGATAAGCTTCTTAGAGTTTTCACAAAACACATTGGAAAATGTGTCATCATCTATATGAAAAAGAAAAGATTTCTGTTAACAGGGCTTAATGACTCTGTAATAATGCTGACAGAGAACTACAAGTAATAAATACATGGTATCAGACAGAAGTAACCATTTATTTTGCTTGCATAAGTGGGAAAATTCATTATTTTTCTTCAGCTGTATTCCCCCTTCAGAACCGAGGTCAAATTTTGCTCTTAGCTTAACTAGTGTAAATGTGGAAAAAGCTATTATTTTAGCAGAGCTACTTTAGTATAATCGACAAGAGAATTCAGTCAACATTATCACTTCTCTTTGTTTACAAACTTGCTCATTATTCATTTCCTAGTCACCCCATCTGACAATATATACTACTAGATTTTTTAAGAAATACAGCTGTTCAATATGTGAAATATTTTGATTTACAATCACTATATTGGCATACTTTCCAAGCTGCTTTGTAACTGATGAATCTACTGGGAGAATTAAATTAGTTTTTATTACCAGTCAGGTGTGAGCCAAAGTTAGATTCCAATGCATATTTTGTTTGACTCAGGATGAAATGCTTCAGTTTGGTATTACTTAGTTCTTAGTTTCAAAAATGTACATTTATTTTTAAGTGAAACATATTTGTATGAATAAATGATTAATTCTGAGATTGTTTTGTATTGTCTAATTCCTCTCTCTTTTAGCTAAAACTATTGTGAATTCTACATAGTTTTGCTAATCATTTTTAAATATTTGTAATTCTTTTAAAATATACAGAAGCTAGCAAGTCCAGCAAACAAACTGTTAGAAAGATTTAGAAAATGTGTCCTGGTTTGCCTTTTGTCTCATGGTTAGATACTGAGCAAGTGCATACCTAGCACAGTAGCTTTCCTGAATCTGGCCTACCCACCTGCATGGCAACAGATACAGCTGTTTTTATTGACCTCACCTCTAATGCTCTTAATTTTCTTGCATGACCACAATTACTGCACATGCATATATTATAATTTATTGAAAACAGTCCCAACAGTGTCAACACATTAATTTTCATGGTATTACACTACAACGGCGTAAGTCCAGCAAACAAACTTTGGACCTAAGAAAGAATAAATATTGTCTAAACTATGACCAGAATTAATATTATTTCAGTGTCTCCATGGCACTTCTCACTCTACTTCTCTCTACTACAAAATCAAAAAAGAAAGCCACCTTTCTCTATAAACGACTTTCCTATTTGAACTTCTGAACATCCAGTAACTTGTAGCTAGTGAACCTTCATGAAGGATAAGGGTGTAACATGATACTAGAGAACAGAAATAAAGAGAAACACTAAACCAGAATAAAGACTGCAAAGTTTTTAGGAAGAAGGGGTAATTTTGCTTCCAATGTCTCTTTAAGATACGTTCCAGAAAGACAAGAAATTAGATGTGTGCATTTTGAAATGACTGAAGAAAAATAAATTTCCTTTCTGACAATACCTTCAAATCAAGCAAATAATGGAAAAGACTAATATAATGGGATAAGATAATCAAACACTTTTGGACAATGTACAGAATTATGCTTTTTTTTTTTCCCCAAAAAAATTTCAACAACCATAAAAGGAGGTGAATATCTACACATAAAGAGTGTTATTGCTTTCTGCTGGGCAAATGTTATGCAAGGAGTTCTTACAAGAAACTGTCACAGCTTGAGTTATTGCTGAAGAAGAAAATTTCAGTTTATTTTTAAGGGAGATTCACTCATTTAACTTATTGTAGATTTTCTGGGAATGAACAGTATTCCAGAAAATTTATAGACATTCGCAAAATTAATGTAGTCTGAATCAGTAAAAATGCACAGAAATCTTTAGGTCTGATGCAGTGGGAAGAAATCACTGATCTGTCAAGAAAGAGAACAAGGTTTAAAAGACTCAACAAGCCATTATAAGCCAACAATTATTGAGAAAGCGATAGACATGAGACATTAAGTCAAAAGGTGCAGAGGGATATTTTGACCAGCCAGCTGTTCAGCAGTTTCGCCAGGTGAAGAAGAAATCTAATTTTCTTGATGAGAAATAGGTGTTCCACTTTGCTTCATGCATTTTATGACCTCTTTGAATTAGTATAGTATTTAGTATGGTTTGGGTTTGGGTTTTTTTTTTTCATTTTAGAAAACTGGAGCACATGACACTGAAACATACAATCTTTTTATCAACTGGCACACATTTTTAAATATACTGGCCAATATTGTATGACAAAACAGAACAAAAATCAGTCAAGCAAAAGCCTTTCCCCCAAAATCCACTTCTTTTCTTCATGACATAACATTATATGAAAGAAAGGAGATTTGAAAATACACTGGAACGTCAGCCTGTTACAAAATATTTCTTTAACATATGTGAGATGCATGAGAAACATCTGAATAAAATTTGATTTTTGTAATTTTCATTTTCATACATGTATATGACATGTCACATACACAAACGTATTTTGGTTTATACGCAGTATTTTTTCAAAATGTCTGGCTAGATATTGGGTGGTCTTAATTGACCTTTATCTTTTAAATACACTGAACTGTATCACTAGTAGAAAAAAAAGTGCTTTCTATCATTACAGTAGCATCAGATACTTGGGGGTGCAAGAAGAAATACTGCCATGCTTCCTCCATATAACAGGAAAGCAATAAAATTCACGAAAACATGTCACTTTCACATAACAAGTCTATTAGAAGATGCCTTTGTTGACTCCAAGTGTACTGATATAAGTATTCTTTCAGTAATATTAAGCAGCTTAGAATTGTTCTTAATGTCAACTTTCTAGTGGTATTAGTAGAAATAAACAGAAAAAATATAAACCAACCTGAAATCCTATAGGTATCATAAATATTACATTTATGTATTTGCTTTAGTTCAAAAGGCAGAAATGAATGCAAATGTTACTGACAAATTAGGTACCTATATGTTTTATATAAACATCATCTATTTCGATACTTGAGACATTTGTTTCGCTACAATAGGCAGGATCTTTAAGTATATTAGTTTCCTTTATTGGAAATAAACTCACTATGCCAATGTTAACACCAGCCCTCCGATGCATGGTACCGAAATAGATACTGGAAAAGGTTTGTTTCAAAGCATCAGACTTGCCTACCATCTCAACCCAGAATGGCATCCCAGTCCAACGGAAGTTTCTACAAGGTCTAGGCCAGCATATAGATCTCTCCATCCAGAAAAGTCATTCTGAGCAGACAACAGTTAATTAAAAAAATGGGCACAGATACGCACACAAGGACGACATGCCTGCACGAGCTACCACGAGTTAATTATTTTGTTTAGGTAATTACACTCCAGATGTATCTGGAGTGAAAGCTAGGGCTTTCTCATCCATTTCTACTGCAAGGTCTATAATCATCTTTCTTCAAATTGGATCAGCATCAACTCCTTGGATACCGTAATGGCCATACCCTTAACATCTACCAAATCACCAAACGCAAGAATGCCATTGACTAGACACTCGGCTTCCACAACACCAGCCATCATCCAGAACACAGCGAAAACAGTATCTCTCATCTCCTCTGTAAGGAATACATACTGTACACCTCATTGGCAACTTTCACCCAACAATCACTGTGGAAATAAACATCACGTGAATTACATATACAAACTTGCTACAGTACAAAAAGAAAACTATCGTCAACCATGCACATACCCATCTTACACCACACTACCCTGACACTGATGTGGCAACTCCTTAAACCTATGCCCTTGAAGAAATTTATCCTTACTTTTCCCATCTAACTTTCAAACAGCTCACCAAGATCAACAGCACAAGCAAATATTCCGCAGAGTAGAGTTCACAATATTTAGTGACCCAATCTTCCTTTCACCTTACTTCCTGCCGATCCCGCTATATTGCACAAATACAACTTCTCTTGAAGCATCATAACTTTCCTAGGTTAAAGACTGATTATTGAAATTTGGAGCTTTCTCCCGCTTTGTCAGTACTCATGAAAAGCTTATAAACCCACTGCTTGCCTGCTTTCACTTTTTCAGCACCTGACATAAAATATATTAACTCTCCCTACAAATCTCACTTAACTGAAATTAAATGCAGTAATACCCATGTTCTATAACTTCCCTGAATTCAGTTATCTGATGGAAGAACACGAACAGAACTAGTAGGATCTCATACAAGATCACTAGTATATTGTCTGTAATAACAGTCCTACCAAATTTAAATTGTTGTCCCAGCTTGCCAACTAAACAAAAAAACCCCAACTATATTAAGGTATCCGAAGCATGACTTCAAGCTATGGAATGGCAGTTGTCGGACTACATATTATTTATGAATATTAAAAATGTTAGTTTACTCAAAATGTTTCTACTTTGGTTGCTCACAAGATGAAATCTAGTCTGCCTTTTAAGTAGTCAGAAATCTAGTCTGCCTTTTAAGCAGTCAGTCCATACATTTGCAAATAAATCTTCACAGGAAAGAAACATATGCCAAAAAATTGGAATTATAGTACAAACAGTAATTTACAGTAAAATATGAAAATACTTAAACACAGATTTTTCTGTGCCTGTGTCCAATTTACAGCAATGACGTGATAAACAAGATGCAATATGGCAAATGTCAGCTTTTTGATGTAAAAAAATATAAAACAGTTTTCTATATCTAAAAATGGATCTGAAATTTTTCTGTAGGGTACAACTGAAAGCAAGGGTTCCACCCTTTATATGGTCATTACAGTGAAATATCATCTGATGAGCATCTGAAAATATAATTGAAACTGATTTACAGAACATGTAACGTTCTGTAACATGTTGATCTTCTTGCATATAATACTGTACAACAGAATTGTAATTTCTTGCTTGCTAGCTTTGAAAACTACAATTCAGCATGTGTATTTGTCAAAATCCCTATAGTAACATAAAATACTGTTCAGAATAACAGTTTTGTGCCAATCTGCAATAATGTTACTTTTCAGTTTGCAGAGCTATGTGTGTATGAACTGACAACTTCACATTTTCAGATCAATTCTGTCAAATGTAGCTTATGTTTCCCTGTAATTTAATTTGAGATCCCTATTAAAACAGATTCTAGAAAACTTTTCATAATAGTTTGGGGATTGTTAATGTATAAATTCACAAACTCTTCTCAAACTCTTAGGAAGCAAAGGTTTTACCATGTGAAATCAAAATGTCATTTTACACATATTTTGAGTAAGGCATTTGGGGTACGTGACCACAATGTCATTTGAGCATGCAAAATCAATCCATTCTCATAGCCACACTCCAAAAAAAGGCAGTTCTATGAATGATAGCATGTTATGAGAGCCTTTTGGTACCCATTTCAAGGTAAATCTGGTAATTTTGAAGAACCACCACACATACAGTTAATATTTTAGAAGAATATAAGGACGAGTAATTTCTGTTTATGTTGCGTTTCAAGATCTCTAATGGTTGGTTTCTGATCTCTAATGTTATTAAGTTGTACTAACGCACTCAAATAAGCTGTAAGTTTCCCAATCCTAATTTTAATGCAGGCTAACAGTGCATTCATTTTCAAATATAGGTAGATGTTTGCAGGCATCTTCACTGAGAAACTCATATACTACTACGACGTACTTTCATCGTATGTCTGGGTGGACAGATACCATGCAGTCCAACGAGTCAGGCATGAACCACCAAATCAGCAAGCACATGCCCATTCCATTACAGTGCCTCCAATTTTGTCACGATACTGGAGAAATCTTGAGAGTGTCTCAAAACCTTCCAGATGTTAAACAGCATACTATAATTTTGAGGCTAGGAAAAAAGAGCAATTCTCTTTTTTTTTAATGAGCAGAAATAACCCCTGCAGAAACCGAAGAAGAAATGTTATATTTTAGCCACAGCATGAAGGCTTCCTACCCTTCTAAAACGCATGCTTCATTTCAGCCACGTGTCTTTTGTTCCAGTAATTTCTGTGTCAGATTCTGTAACACGCATTTTGAAAATAGATCATGAAATGATTTCCCAATTTTAAAATCTACAAAACAATACTTTGCCTTTCGGAATCTCTTTCTACTCTACAGGCCACCACTTCAGTGTCTGAATAATTCCATGGGCTTTCCCATAGAAACAAGTAAGATCAGGGCAATTTTCCTTTAGTGTTTTCTTTTTGATGACTTCATCTAGTAACTAGTTTTGTTCCAGCCTCCATTTACATTTAATTTTATGTCCCGTTCCTCTGAATCAGTTTTGACTCTGACATTCCCTGTCAAAAACATTAAAAGTTTTTCCTTGCTGCTTCCCAACACTTTTGCTTGCTGACTCGATCACTGTCTTGTTTCCATCTGGCTCTCGAAGTTAATTCATAATCCAGTGTCTTTTTCACGCACAAAAAAATTCTGTGGGTTTTTTTCCCAGATACCTCAACCCTTTAAAAATGAGTCTTACAGTTAATATTTTGAAGGTCTTTAGATCCAAGAAAGAAATGTTACAAGTGATGTAGCAATTCACAGTTCTTCAATCTCCTTCCAAATCCAAACCATTGTCTTAGCTTGTCTTCTATGCCAAAAAGTACACAGCTCCACATGCTACTTTCTGCGGACCCTTCTGTTACACTCGGTGTGCTTTCCTGTCTCACGTGTCATTTCATGTAGCATTTCAGCGCTAACGCTACGCGAGAGCTATCTACGCTCCATAAGCTTTGGCACGACGCAGGTTTTTCTCGGCTAAGATCTTTGTCAAAGATTCTACCTTAGTTTTGAAACTCTCTCTTTGCTGGGGCTCAGTCCCCCCAAATAACATACCTTTCAGATGCTTTATCTTCATTTCTGTGCTCTGCCTGAAAGCGTGTTACTGGTATGCTTCCCTTCTACTTGGACTGCCGTAAATTCAGTAATACAGTTTCATAGCTGGCCTCCTCTTGAGTTACTTGAAAATTACTAAAAATATGAAGTGCTTCTTAAATAGGTCTTGTCAGAAATAAAACTGCTTTCTGTCTTCCTTTGCCAGACACTCATTATTACAGACATATAGGAAAGCGGTGTTTAAGCCTTTTCCAGCTGTCCTCCACATTTCCAGAGTTTCAACATTTGGAGGACTTTTAACTGTTACATCTTTCCATTCACGTGGTTCATTTCACTTCTGTTCTTCAGAAATTAGCCAGCGCGAAGGAGTCAGACAGTTAGAGGAGTTTCATTTCATTTCTAAACGAACAGGATTAAATTTATAAAATGAGACCGTCACCACAACCGTCGCTACCGAGAGCCTCCTAAAAGTGCAACTCCTCTCACCACGGCTACACTTCATCTGAACCGTGACGGTATCAGACCAGTGCATCCCGTCACCCTGGAGAAGATGAGCGCCGCCGGTGCAAACGCAGGCACGAAAAAGCAGAAACGGCTTCAGCTGAAGGCAGACTAGGGGAGCGACACGGGAATGGCCGCAGGACGGGTCAAGACGTAGGGGGGAAAAAAAAGGCAGCTCAGCAGAGTGGTGTGAAATTCCCCTGTTTTATTAAAGCAAGGAAGATAATTTTAAAGATAGCTAGGAGGACAACGAGGAGGTCTTAAGAGCGAGAAAAGAGACCGATGTCACCTGTGGAGCACGAGGCG